AAAACAAAAACAATTGAAAAAGAAAATACAAATTAATTAAATTTATTAAAGTATTCTTCGATAGAATAGAAGCATTCATCGGTTAAATATTTTTTTATTTTTTTGTGAAATATAGGGAGTTCCTGTTCATCCCGTATTTGTGATGGTAATTTATTAAATATTTTTATAGCCATATGATAGGGGCTGGTGTTTAGCATCTTTATGCGTGAAGGAGGTATATACAGCCTGTTTTTGTTGCGAGTGCTAATATTATGTGTGTCTTGAACACGGATAAACTTATTGCGATGTTTAAAATGAACAAACAATTATCCAGTATGTAAATCGATGGTAAAGTTAGTAGTTGGTATTTTAAAAAATAAGGTCTGCAACTCTGCATATTGTTAATTTGAGCAACGATTCGCACACATTTCTTTTGGAGTATAAATACCTGCCCTGCATTAACGCTGTTGCCCCAAAACATGATCTTTGTGATTGAAATAAATAAATTATTATTATTATTATTATTAATGGCTTAGCTTAGATCTTCCAACGATTTCCATATCATTAATCCCGGCCATAAAGCTATTGTAAAGCCATCAAACCGTAATGTTACGACTCGACAATGCGGGCTGCTGTGAGAATATTACCAATTGTTCCTCGACGTTGCGTGTCAACTCTTCAATGTATCATACACCAGAAATTTAGATCTTAAAACGTCAAATTTATTAACAGAGTAGTAAGCAAAATGTTTGCGTCCGCCCAGTGGGCTAATCGTCTAACGGGATTGCTATGGTAATCGCCATCGCTTACGATTTGTTATTTCGGACTGTTATAGTCATAATTTTTATATCATTTACATTTGTAATGGAAAGTGACTTCATGAGTTATCTCATATTGAAGTCATTTTTCAATTTGACGACTCTGTATATAATACAGGGTAAAAAAACAGCCCTTGCTGAGTTTCTTGCCGGTTCTTCTCAGTACAAGGTCTCCCGCCGTAGATTTGCGAACCGACGGCGAAGCTTTTCGACATTCACAAGTGCTTGTAATAGCCTAGACAGAATAAACGATATTGAATATTTAGATTTTATTTTTATAGCGGTCCGCTTTCTCACATCTGAAGTTTAATGGTGTGGTAATTATGTAACTGCAATAAGTTAATAATATCCATTAAATCTAAAGAAAAGTTTACTAGAAAAAAATCCACGCGGACCAGGCAGCGGACGGGACCCGAACCCGCATCCTTCGCTATCCGGGCGAATGCACTGACCATTATGCTACAACGGCCCTATTAGTCGCGTCGAAATTTTCCTAGCCTTAAGCTGCAAGGCAGCGCCATCTCTTCGCATTGTAGGTAACCCACAATGTCAAATGAATACTTTTTCAAGTATCAAACATTTGAAAGAAGAAATAGCAATTATAGTTATGATTTTATTTATTTTTTAAGCATTTAACTGCTAGATGTTTAAATCTAAAGAAAAGTTTACTAGAAAAAAATCCAGTCCCGTCCGTTGCCTGGTCCGCGTGGATTTTTTTGCTCGTGTAGGAACAATGGCCACTTAGTAGTCCTTTGAAGAAAAGGTGGTGGAGGGATATAGGAAAATAATTCCTCAGAACACTTGCCGTGGTATAGTCGGTAGAATGCTCTTAATGATACAAGTAATACTTTTCATCGGTAATCCCTGAGCTAACCACTGTTATTATGGCACAACTATTCTCTTATTTCACTTTTTCTAACCTACTTTTTCTTGTGCTGAAAGTATAACTATAATAAAAGTATGCACTAGTGACTCAAAAGAAAAATTGTGCATTATAACTCTATCATTAATGATGATATCATTACATATTATATGGCTCTACCTTCTCCTTTCTTCATAATGGTGGTAGCATTTACCGACACAAGTACACGAATTACGCGATAGCACATCTAGAGTGCAATGCCACAGGAAACGAGCGAATACCTCCGTCTGTACTTATTTCAAATGGTCCAAGTAAAAGGCGGTTGAAGTATTTACCTGCGTATCTAAGCAGGGTAATAATTTTCTTTTTTATCGAATCTATTCGAAAAGAGCGAGAGAGGGTTTTACTAACAATGCGTTAGTAAAAGTTTCAATTACCAAAGAGATCATTCGAGAACTTTTTATGAACAAGCCAAAGAGTAAACAAAAAAGAATGAAAATATGCAAAAAAAATTATGCAAAGTTCTACACCCACACAATTCCGCAAGCAGCAACAACATATGCAAGCATTATGAATATTTCATCCTTAGAAATAATGCAAGGAAGGTGAAATCTTGTTCTTAAAATAATTTTTTGATCTATTTTCGCTATTTCCAAGAAAGTGTTATTGTTCTTGTATGTTAATATATAAACGTACTTTTCTTATATATTCGTAGTTGTATTTACTTTTATTTCTCATAGAGTGGTAATAAAAAGTTGAATATCCACTACGGGAGCATCACCATTTTAAAGATTGTAATCTCCCTCCCTTTGAAAATAGTAATACTATTGTAATGTAATCTGACTATAAAACGTTAAAATAGAATTAGTTTCCTATAACTATCTAGTCTAAAATATAGTATGTACTCGTAACTAAGTCTGCTAACAAGTTTTAAACAAAAATATATACCAATGCTTTATTAAGTAGCTTCAACTTCATCTTTACTCACAAAGACATTGTCTACGGATCATTGTATTCTGTTACAGATTTAATAAATATAAAATGAAGAGATACTTACTAATAATACAAAATATGTAGTTGTGCTAATAACGTTTGATAAACTTACATGCATTGCCTTTGTTTTGCCAAGTGATACTTTATTAAAATTAACTTATTAAAGGTATTGTATCGTCCAATATTTTTTCCTACCACCCATTCAAGACATCTTTTAGTTGATGATAAGAATGGGCGCAAGAAACTCATCAGCATTTAACAGAAGTAGCAATGTTAACAAAAAAATAAACACATAAAAATACCTTTCTCGCCCGCTCTATTCACTTGTACCACGCGCTTGATATGAGATACAACCACTTAATTTTCTATCCGTATTATTGTGGCGGCGTCTTTAGTGGGAAAACTGGGGGAAATTGAGTTACGTGAGTTTCCTAGTTCCTCATTGGGACATTACCTTATTTACTAACTAGTTATGTTTGACCGAACTAGTCGCAGAATAATATAAAAGGGAAGATGACAAACTTTTTTCTTACTTCGGTAAATTATCAAAAAGTATTGGACACGTATTTTTTGATTCACGTATTGAAAACATTACACAGATATGTAAATTGATATGAAATGTCGCATGACGTCACGCCTTGGTACAATTTTCACTCAGCAGTGACGTCACGAGCCCCGCCTCCCAAACTTTGACGCGCTTTATCTTTGTAATGTTTTGGTATATTGACAAATGAGAAATTAAATGTAAGTTTTGAAAATCTAACTGACGGACGGATTTATTAAAATTTTGTTTTCTTAACCCCGTCATATTGTACAATTGGAGAAGAGATATTAAATACCTTGCAGCTTAAGGCTAGGAAAATTTCGACGCGGCTAATAGGGCCGTGGTAGCATAATGGTCAGTGCATTCGCCCGGATAGCGAAGGATGCGGGTTCGAGTCCCGTCCGCTGCCTGGTCCGCGTGGATTTTTTTTCTAGAAAACTTTTCTTAAGATTTAAACATCATGCAGTTAAATACTTAAAAAATAAATAAAATCATAACTAATAAATACCTTTCAAATATCTAATCAAATACTTTATAAACAAGTATTTAAACTGTGAATTAAACAATAATTAATTAATTTAATTAGTCCAAGATCGATCTGAGTGGCGTGCATTTGGAGAGGCCTATGTCCAGCAGTGGACTAAGATAGGCTGTTGATGATGATGATGATTTAAACTGTAATTTAGCAAAACATTTTATTTCCACGATTGATCTCATCAAGTAGGGCCTATCACCATCATTGCAGCCTTTTAATCTCCCCACTGTTCCGTGACTCACCACGCGGCCCCAGCGCGGATTGGTGGGTACTCACGACTGCAGATGCAGCCGGGACCAACGGCTTTACGTACCTTCCGAAGCACGGAGGAGCTCGGAATAACAAGTTTTGGCCACCCATCCAATGACGGACCATTGCGTAAGTTGCTGAACTTCAACGATCGCAGGCAGAACGCGCTAACCACCTGCGCCTTAAAGCTCCTCGATAGCAGCCAAACCTTCATTCATATAATGAATTGTTGTATTGTTACTGCTCGATGGCGCAAGTGGTTAGCGCATTCGGCTGCGATCGTTGAAGTTAAGCAACTTTCGCAGTGGTCGGTCATTGGATGGGTGGCCAAAAATTTACTATCTCGAGCTCCTCCGTGCTTCGGAAGGCACATAAGCCGTTGGTCCCGGCTGCAACTGCAGTCGTTAGCACCCACCAATCCGCACTGGGCTCGCATGGTGGGTCATGACCCAATCTCCCTATTCCATCCATATCAGAATCAGAATCAGAATTTTATTTGTGAAACATAGGTTAGTATACGTGGTATATAAATTTTTTGTTAGTATCACTACATTTCCACCTTAATTAAGGTATACAAATAGATATGAACCTATGAAAGGAGTACTATTATTTTTACATTGGAATCACAATTTATGAATAAAATTTGAAATTATCTATTATTACATGCATGTCAAAGTAAATTATAAATCTTTATATATATAATTCTTCTGTGAGTGTGTATGTCACTGAACTTCTCTTAAACGACTGGACCGATTTTGATGAAATTTTTTGTGTGTATTCAAGGGGATCTGAGAATGGTTTAGATTCACAATTTTGTCCGCTGGACAACGTTTTTTTAATTAAATTTTTTTATGGCGGTACGAAGTTCGCTGGGTCAGCTAGTTAATTATAAATTTGATAAGCCATAAAGTTGTCATACTAATAGTCAAAATTTTAATGGAAAAATAAGGAAGGCCTGTGCCCCAGCAGTGGGGACATCAATAGGCTGATCATGATGATAATGTTTCGTTTCTGTATCAGGCACCGTCGAGCCGCTCCCGCCGTACAGGATGCCGCCGGCGCCGGACGCGGCGCTGCCCGGCGCGCCGGCACCCAATACCGCCGCGCTTCACACGCACTCCGCCAAATTCCCCGTAAGTTATTTTTGACGTGATAACTTAGCTTGTAAATCGAACAAAGACTTGACGACCTCCGTGGTCGAGTGGTTCGTCCGCTGAGTTTCAAGGTGTCCCCTACTCGAGAGGTCCCGGTGGGGGCAGATGTTTGTGTAATAAATATGAGCATTTGTACTCCAGTCATGGTTTTTTTTTATAGATATTTCCGACAAATGACTCTACCCCACCTGATGTTAAGTGATGGGGAAGTCCAGACGTGAAGATAGCTGATACAGCAGTTCTACCTGCCACACCAGCCATCCTCACCTTGCCGGCCTGCATGTTGCTTTTTCACGCCTCTTTTAAGGGATCCCAGGTTGTAAGAAGGAAGGAACACGTGAGCAGGCAGAGCATTCCATTTACGGATAGTGCGACAAAGTAATGAGTCATCAATTTTCTTTGTATGCGTTGGAATTGTGGCCACAGTTAGACGGTGACACCGAAGGCCAGCGCGCGTGGTCCTCTGAAGGAAAGGGGAAGGTGGAATAAGAGAGAATAACTCTTCAGAACACTCGCCGTGGTACAGACGATAGAACGCGCTAAGTGATGCCACGTCACAGCGTAATTGAAGAGGCTCGAGGTGTTTAGTCACCTCTTCATCGCCTATGATGCGGATCGCACGCCGCTGTAACGTATCCAAAGCATCGAGCTAGTGCTTGGCGGAACCATCACAGTTAATATGTACTTCTATATAAATTTACTTATATGTGTATCAGCATAATGTATTCTATCCGTATCCCATAATACAAGCCAGTGCAAGTGCTTATTTTGGGGCTAGGCTAATTGGTGTGAGTGTAAGAAATATTTATTTTATTTATTAAATCACTGACTGCCCGCCCACACGTTTTCGTACCTGCAGCCAGTGTTTCGTCATGTCACAAGTCACGTTATATGACGTCATGTCACGTTAGTTCAAAGTTCCACGATGTGTGAAGGGGTGAGGTCGACGGGTTCCCTCGACCTCACCTCACACACATTGCGGGACGTTACACACACATATTTTTATATGAATTTAAACTTCTTTTAATAAAAAAACCTCGTTAAACGAAACATTTAAGACTTTCGCTTACGTTTGATTTCATAAAAGTTTTTCCTTTCATCAATTTCATTAAGTTATATACTAACAGTCCATCTTTTTATTTCCGAACAAACTTTTTATACTTATAGGTTAAAAAATAAGTATTTAGTCAGCGCTATTTAGCTAAAGCAAATCGAGCTTTTGTTTTCTGTGGCAGACAATGCTTCACAGTTTGCATAAATTTTCACGGAATGCGAAAATTGACGCCGCAACTTAACGAAAAAAGTAACCAGAATAAATTGCATTTTTTCCACGCTTCGGAAAAAAACTGATCTGTTATTTCCGGTTGAAATGAAATGAAATGAAATGTCATTTATTCAGTCTAGGCTGTTACAAGCACTTGTGAAGGTCAAGAAGCTACGCCATCGGTTCGCAAAACTACGGCGGTAGACCTTGTACTGAGAAGAACCGGCAAGAAACTCAGCAAGGTTCCTTCTGCATTTGCAGTCGTTTCTATTAAATTTGTAATAACTTTTAAATCTTACACAACGCTACGGAACTACTCGTTTGTGAGTCCGCATTACTCCCATTATCATCATCAGCCTATTAATGTCCCCACTGCTGGGGCACAGACCTTCCCTATGGATAGAATAGGAAGATTGGTCCATGACCCACAACGCGGGCCTAGAGCGGGTGCTGACGACTGCATATGCAGCCGGGACCAACGGCTTAACGTGCCTTCCGAAGCACGGAGGACCTCGAGATACAAAATTTTTGGTCACCCATCCAATCGATCGCAGCCGACGCGCTAACCACTTGCGCCATCGAGATCCTCACGACTCGACTTAATCCCATACCAGTGGTAGATTATATAAATAATATGGATGATGAAAGGGTAAAGCATGTTATAAATAGAACTCTTTGGGGTAAAGTTAACAAAATTATATTTAGCCCGTCAGTTATTTAACAAAAAAAATACCCACTTATTTTTTTATTTTGTCAAACATTTAACAAAAAAATACACACTTATTTTTTTATTTTGTCAATCAACCAAAGACATTACAAAGATAAAACTCGTTGTATAGTTTGGGAGTCCGCACTCCCATACTTTAATGAGTTTCTATGTAATGTCTGATCTTTGTAATGTTTTGATCATGTGAACAAAGAAAATACGTTGTCAATACTTTTTGATAATCTACGCTAATTGTTGAAGAAAAAAAGTTTCTCATCATCGCTATTATTTAAGTATATTTGTTTCACATGAGTAGTAAATATGTGGTTCGTTTGATCAAGGAAGAGTTTTGAGTCTAAAGAAAATTACAAATTATCGATATAATAGATAAAACTCCAAGGGTGTCAAAGGTGACTGACTAACATAGTGATCTATAAACGCACAACCCAAACCACTGGACGGATCGGGCTGAAATTTGGCATGCAGGTAGATGTTATGACGTAGGCATCCGCTAAGAAAAGATTTTGATCAATTCTACCCCTAAGGGGATAAAATAGGGAATGAAATTTTATATGAAACTTTGTCAATTTTAAACCGATCGGGCTGAGACATTGCATGCAGGTATAAGAAGAATCATAGATGAATGTTATTGTGTATAATACAAGCCTGAGAACAAAATCTGTAGTCTACACTTCAGCTCTACACCGAAGCGAAGCGAGGGCGGGCCACTAGTTTTAAAATAAGATGGCTAAAAGACTTTAATTCAATACAGATGTAAAGTAATTTATGGTAATAGTGGTAGAAAATAGTTATTTGCTATGCAAAATGCTTTTTGGAAAGCGAAACACACAACATTTCGCCTCACTACATCGAGGGAAATGCTACATGCAAAAACCAGCATAAAAAAGATCGGCTTCACTGGACAGTATATTAAAAGAACTTTTTGAAAAGAACTAAAAGAGCATTCAGATATCGAATTACGTGAAAAATTATTTCCCCTTCTAAAAATATTCAATTCAATTTATTGCACTCATGTGGTTACATCGCATTTGCATTGATAAGCTTTCTACTTGAGTTTTTTTTTCTTTTACGTCCTAATAATGCTAATCCCATTCTCCCAATGCTAGGAATAATAATAATTTCAACAAAACATTGATATATTTAATCTTAATTCTATGAAATTCAAAAAACTAATTTGTAACTCGTTTTAGGCACAACATTTTTATTTCTCTTTATTTTGTTTATGTTCATTATATTGTTAAAAATTATTTCTTTTTTCTGTCATGTTTATTAGACACTGTGTGAGATAAATAATAGTGGAAATTACCTAGGCTATTGTTTAAACTTAATATTGTATTTTTTATGTGAAAATTAATGCTGTTATTTCCCTAAAAATAAATAAATAATTAACTAACGATTCTTTTCGCAAAGATCCTTTCTTTTTTCAGTAAAATTGAGAAATATTATAGCCATTGTAAAATTTCAGACCTACCTACAACAACATTAGATAAATATCATTAACTACAAGCTACTGCTATACAAAGATCAGAGATAAATTCAACAGAAACAAACAGTGTTCATACTCAACACGGATGATATATGCATGGTCAATATTGGTTTAACTCGTCCGCTACTAGAAAATAACTTACAAACCTTTCTATTCCATTAAACTTAAGGTTCAAATTGCGATATAAATATTGAATGGGAATAGCCGTCCATTTCGCATAATATTAGAACCGGCTCGTTAGGTTAACGACATTGCAATCTCATACAATCTAATGGAATCCATCTTGGAATCCTTTTCAATGGGAATTCACATCTGCATTAATAACATTTTCACTAAGAGGTTCATCGACGACCTAGATTTCTTGAGATTTTATTCAATCCGAGTATTATTAATACTTAGAATTTTAGATTTTTTAAGAGCGGACGCGAGCTGAGAGACTTTTGAGAAATGGGTGTTTGTAAAAAATATTGCTGTCGCGAATTGGCCAATACCGTGCGATAAGGACAACAGTAGCAGAAGCTAACACTGAAAATTGCGTATAAATATTGCAAAAGTCCACGTTTGGATCCCGACGATTTCTTCCTCGAAAATTAGGCATATGCCAAGAAATTTACCCATAGAAACATCATCATCATCAGCCTATTAATGTCCCCACTGCTGGGGCACAGGTCTTCCCTATGGATGGATTAGCGAGATTGGGCCATGACCCACCACGTGGGCCCAGTGCGGATTGGCGGGCGACTGCAGATGCAGCCGGGACCAACGGCTTTACGTGCCTTCCGAAGCACGGAGTAGCTCGAGATAGTAAATTTTTGGTCACCCATCCAATGACCGACCACTGCGAAAGTTACTTAACGTCAACGATCGCAGTCGAACGCGCTAACCACTTGCGCCATCGAGCTCCTCACCCATAGAATAATAAGTAGTTATACTAGTCCTCTATGTTTTGCTTTTTTATAAATTCTTATTGAACCTCCGCACTAGACGTATGTAGTGGTGAATAAACCCAAAGGGCAATCAAATCCCACCAACCACCCATGGCCTTCTTGGTTATGCTGGCCGAAGCAGTGGGAGATACCTCCACCGCTTTTCTTGACTCCGTACAAAGTGTTCTTTATCTGTCACCCTTGTTCCTATGGTCCTTTTCCCCTTTCTGGGGTGGACGCACACGAAACGCCTTCGTCGCAATCCCAGCCGTCCCATGCCCACTATGAAGTGGTACCGCTAGCCTCCATTTCCTATTCCTCTGCTAATGCTCTTCTTTCTTCACCTCCCTCGAGTCCACTCCGAATTCTGTGCCATCTACTCTTGAAGTCCCGTAGCTGCCTGAAGTTCGCCTCCGACCCCACAAGGTCGCGATAGTTGACCGGCCTAACCTCGAGCACCTTCACACTGTCCAGAAGTACCCTACGCGCCTCCCCGTAGAGCTTAAACTCTCACAGAGCGTGGTATGCGTCCTGTACTTCTCCCTCCCCACAGTAGCACGACCCCACCTCCGCGAG